AACCTAGGTTTTAATAAACATTTACCCGTATGCCCTGAATTGGGGCAGGTCAGGGTAAATATTTTCATGTATTTAAAAAAATGGAGTAATTAAATTCCCTATCTGGGAATTTTTTCAAAAATTAATGAGACACAATCTTCTTATCTATACACGCATATATAATGCTGATTTGTTAATTTAAAATAACACTTCACTAAGGTAAAGATAAAACCATTATCATTGAATACTAAATAGTATTTCTGTTACTCATATGAAAAGGAATTTAATGAGTTAATAACATTTGACAGTTTCAGCATAATTTAAAATTAGCAACAAATATTCTCAAATGATTGTGTTTCCATTAAGAAATATAAAAGAATAGTAGAAGTTTAAATTGATTGCTAATAAGCACAAATCATTACTATATGAAACTTTTACCCAGTAAAAGTTTTCTTATGAAAAATAAAAAATGCAACAGAATCTAGTAAGTTGCAGCAGATTTTGTAATTAAAATCTTTATTTTAGCAAGTGATTTAACTGAATTTATTTTATTAGATCAAATATTTTCTTATAAAATACTTTAATTTTTCTTTTATTAACTTATAAATCAGCATACTTTATTACCAAAAACAAATATTGTATACAAAATCAAATTAAATTTATTGATTAAAAATATTTCAATAAGTATGTAACCCTAGTGGTATTATATAACTTTAATACAACTAAAGTTTAATAACTCTAAGGTTTAATCAAAGAACTTTTATTTGTGAATCTTTTGTTTTAATGATAAAAATTTTGTGATGTTACCTTTCAGTTTCTCCTTCAAACAGCAGCAGGGGATCTTTTTCTACTTCACAAATCTTTCCATCAAAGTGTCCGGTATGTATATATATAATTTTAATTAAATAATTTGCTTTTTCTCTTTATGATGATTGTTCAGCTTCTGATTATTATATAGTATTATGAAATTCATCTTTAAATGTTGGCTGATTTACGAGTGCCATAATTTTGGACAAATTATCTATTATAGCTCATGATCCGCAGCCCTAGTTTGTAGGTGTATGGAAAATTCTCGATTTATAACATACACCAACGTATTTTTCACATCTTTTTCTTCCCCTAACTGATGGTTTTCATCCCAATCCTTACTATCAATGTTGATGATCCTCTTTTTCTTTATGCAATGGGGACCAATCTTTACGAGTTATTTGTAGTTATTACAGTTTCACAGTCAAGATTATGGTCAGAGTTTAAATGTTGTATAAGAAAAATGACATTTTATGATAATTTTCTTAATTTGTTTCGAGTTTTTTTTTTATTTAACTTGAATTTCCGGTTAATCTACAATTTTTTTTCTTTTCTTTAAACAATTCTCCATAAGAAAAAACTTGCAAAGTGCCTTTGCAATGAAAAAACTAGAAAGAAAAATGGTTTCTTTCTCTTTTACGGAAACTCTGAAAGGTAGTTGAAAACATGAGCTGTATTTGATCATGATTTTTTAGGTAAATAGACAAGTTTAATCAACTTGGATGTGAAAGCTGAACAATTTCTACTTTTTTGGACCACTCTCACGAAGATGCTTTTGTGTATCTATATATATGTGTGTGTTGTAAAGTATATTAATGTAGTTTGTATAAAGTGTCAGTGATTATTTAGAATCAGTACATCAGTATTATTAATTAGGCTTTCTTTATTTTATTTATGATTCGTTTTAAATTCTTTTTCTGCAGAGTCAAAACAAATATGAAAATCAAAATGGTCATAGCTTTTTGTCCCACATACCTCTTCCTATTATGCAAAAGTACGACATTGGTAGAGTTATTGGAGATGGGAATTTCGCAGTAGTTTATGCTTGCTTTAATACGTAAGAATTATCCATTTTTTAAAAAAAATTTTGTTTTAATTATAAGTAAATGATTTTATAATAGTATTTTTGTTTAAAATTTAAAAAAGATTAAAGAAGAAATTCTTGAATTTTTTAAATATAATGATATATATATAAAACTAAATTCTGCTCACAATGTAATAAATAAGAATTTAAATTTTTGTAAAATTTCTTTCTTTTGCTGTTTTTAAACTGTTACAATTAAAACATTTTATCTTAAATACATACATCTGCTTTAACTTTCAACTATTAATTTTCAGATTAAATAGTTCTGAATATGCGCTGAAGGTCATAGACAAAAATAAATGCAAAGGCAAGGTAGGTTTGTTTGTTCTCGTTTTCCTATTGTTTAAAATATTTTTTATTTATTACGGATGTTGTTTCTTATGACACTTGGTCAAGCCAAACGCACTAGCCATTCGCCAGCCAAGCACCACATATAAACCTATCAAATGAGGTTTTTATTGTATTTGGCACTTTGCTTATTTGATTCAGATAACAGTGATATCATGAATTGTATGGTTTTTTTTAAACATTATCTACAGAAATTAAAGAGCCTTCTTTTAAAAGTAAACAATTTTTTTCTGATGAGCATTTTTAATATTCTGACTATATATTATTGAGCTTTTAAATTTTTTCCCATGATTTATTTGCTTGACTTGGACACACAATAAAGTTGACAAAACATTCAAATGAGAGGTTCATAGCATAATATACTTTCTGAATGCAAAAGGAAATAAAAGTACACCTTTTTAAAATTAACTTAATCTCAAACTCGACTCAACTCAAGTTTATGGAAATGTGATAAATGGAACTTTTATTCAAAAATAATTTAATAGCAGGCAAGTTCTTGAATTCCATTGCTACTGGAATTGAGACCTGAATTTTGCATAAAGCTATGGAAACAAAGTCAATGTAATTGCATTTATAATTCTTAAATAAACTAGATAGATTCTGAGCACCAAAAATGAAGGCTACAGTGTTTTATGTTTGAAAAGACGTAATATTGGTAATTTTATCTTGTGAACAGAGTAATTAGTTTTTTCAGATCTTTTTAAAAACCCACAAATAAATAGTAGCTGAATGTTCACTATTAGTGTCATGTTAGCATGAGCTATTTGGAAGGTCAGTGACAAGAGGAAATAAAAACCTTTGTTGTTACTTGTTCACTTATCTATTTTGTATGTTAAGCACGGAAACTAATTAAATTTCCATTGAGAGATTATTAAATATTATCGTTAAGTTGAAAGCCTAACTAGTTACTTAATCAAGAAAAAAATCACTTTCAATGAATTTTCTGTGTTGTATTAAATTTTACTGAAAGGATAAAATGCTTTTAATGCAAAACCTAGTTTTAGTATTGAATATCTGAATCCAAATACAGTCGAACTCGTTTATAACGAGCACAAAGGGACCTTAACATTGTATTTGATAAGTCCGAGTGCTCGTAATAAACGGGTCCTTAAGGCAGGTGTGCAACCAGAAGAGGGGGGGGGGCTTGGGAGGTCAAATGATTGAGTTTACTTAAAATTTAATTAATACTTACTTACTTTAATTACATTAATTAATTTAAATAAATACTTTTCTTAATTTAATGACAACTACCCTCCCCCCCCCAACCAGCAAAAAATTTCTAGTTGCGCTACAGTCTTAAAGGAAAGAAACAATAAACGGAAAGAAAAATAAAGGAAAAGATAAGGGCAATTAAGTTTCAGTTCGCGTTTTTTTTATATTCTGCGCGCATTTCTTATCATTTTTAAAAAAAGATAAGACAGAAAGACTAGAAAGATGAAAAAAAAGATAGCAAGACAGAAAAATATTGCTCGCTAAAACCCGGTCTTGCTCGTTAAAAGCGAATTCTGTTCCATAGACTTAACATTGATCCAACCAAATATTCTCGTTTCCCTCCGCAAATCTGAGTTCTCGTTATAAACGAGTTCGACTGTGGAAGTATTCTGTCAAATTTTGTTTAACGGAAAGAAAACACTTCTCTATTTTCTGCTGTGATGAAACCTAATTCCAATGATAGTCTTTCTTTATAAAAATATTCACCTATCCATGCTGTTTTTCCCTCAAGTCATAAAATAAAACATTCTTACTTGAACTTAACAACACATTTAAGCTGTGACATTCTAGCTATTATGAAACAGAACAAAAGCTCAGCAACTTAAAAATAATAATCAATATTAAGAAGTGATGAGTTGGTACTAAAGGTACAAAACACCACCTTATAGCAAATAGGATTATTTGCATAAAAAACTATTTTTTTTTAATTAACTGACCTGATTATAAGACCAAAACCTGACAATTCCATTTTTAAATTAGCTTCTTGAATATCCTTTCTTTTAGTCAATGAAAACAGTTATTGGAAAGTATGAAAAAGTTTCTCTCAGCTTAGAAAAATTTAGGACTATTCAGTTAAGCTTTTTGTTGAATAATACTAGTATTAATTCAGAATGACTAATATTTTCATCCTGTAATTCTGATCAAACCATTTTATTTTAAAATGTGTTCTTATTGTAAAAGCAGCTTTTAGTTTATGGTTTTTAGGTAGTCATAGGCAAAATGGTTATAAAAAGAAATTTAGTTGAAATTGTAATAACAAAAAATATTAAATTTTGTTTAAAAAACGAGAAACCAGAATAAAATTAACCGAAAAAAGTATTTTTTAAACAGCACATTTATTTTAAAATGTGTTCTAATTGTAAAAGCAGCTTTTAGTTTATGGTTTTTAGGTAGTCATATACAAAATGGTTATAAAAAGAAATTTGGTTGAAATTGTAATAACAAAAAATATTAAATTTTGTTTAAAAAATGAGAAACCAGAATAAAATTAACTGAAAAAAGTATTTTTTAAACAGCACATTTATTTTAAAATGTGTTCTTATTGTAAAAGCAGCTTTTAGTTTATGGTTTTTAGGTAGTCATATACAAAATGGTTATAAAAAGAAATTTGGTTGAAATTGTAATAACAAAAAATATTAAATTTTGTTTAAAAAATGAGAAACCAGAATAAAATTAACCGAAAAAAGTATTTTTTAAACAGCGAAGCTTTCTAAAGTAATAATAAATATTAATATGCTTTTTAATTTCATATCGAAATATAATTTTAAAATATTTATAATGAATAAGTGGCGAACATTTAAGAATTTGCAATTCAAAAGTTATAAAAATTAAAATTATAACTAATTTTTTCTGCTAGTTTTTAACTTACAAGTTTCACTGTAACACATTTACTTTATCTTTTATTTATTCATTTTTTAATGTTAGGAACATTTAATTGAGAGTGAAGTTGCAATACTGAGACGTGTAAAACATGAGAATATAGTACAATTAATTGAAGAATTTGATTTTGAGAATGATCTTTATTTGGTGATGGAACTTGTGAAGGTAAGAAAAACTTACTTGTGTGTGCTTTTCATTTAAATAAAATAAAAAAATCAAGTGTTTTGTACTTAAAAATCAATTAATTCATTTTCTTCAGTCAATAATAATCCATTATAATGTATACTTTCTTGAAAAATTAATTTAAGGGTCATTGAAGCTTTTAATTTGGCTATTCCATATATTTTGCTTTTTATTGCTTTTATATTAAATTGGATTTTTATTGAATTTATTATCTACCTTCTTTCTTTTCTGACACTACAACCCAATATGGGAGGTAGCTTTCCTGTTCTTTGCCTTGGATTTACAGCTGGTAATTTTCATTATGGATTAGATCTTATGGAAGAAGCTAAAAATAAGCAAAACGATTATTTAGGGATAAATATTATTATAATAATTTTAATTTAAGCAAATAAAAGTGAATAATTTAAGTTAGTCTAAATTTCTTAAATATATATATTCATATCTAAATTATGTGTATAGTGCATCTTTCAGGAGAACTCCTCCAGATATCTGTCTCATGTCGTGGGTACTATGGTTACCAAGAAAAGTTACTTTGAATAGGGGTGAACAGCTTTGTCTTAATCTTGGCATAGGTCGGCATGAGTAAACCAATCAACACCTTCTTTCCTCCATTTCACCACCATTAGAGATGTGCTCTCGCTTGTTGCCATAGCAGCAGACAGCTACAGGATTTTAGTCTGGAGGAGCTCTCCTCACAGCTACACTTTATTTATAACTAACCAAATGTAAAACATCTTTATTATTATCACATGATCATTTATTTTTCAATAATAATTTCCTACTCTGTATTTAAAAATTTACTTTGAGAGGTTATTTTTTTTATAATTTTCAATTCAGAGTATTTTAAAAAAACTTGAAAGCATTTATCAAATTATTTTAAAAATTGTATGTAGTTTTTTATTAAATTATAAAGGAAAATTCAATAATTTGTGAATAAAAATTCAGTTTTTGCTCAAATTCAATTCCAATTTTTAATTAAAAATTCTATTACATAAATTATATGAATAATTTTATGATTATATAAAAATTATGTCTATATTAAAAATATCTGTTTATAATTACTTTTAACATATTGACTATGCACTGATTATGAAAATTAGTAATATGTTATTTGTATTTTATATAATTACAATGTTATTTGTAGCTGTGATAAAGATTATTTATTAATTTGTTAATTTAATTGTATTTTTGAAACTTGATTATGATACTGTAACAGTTCTTTTAAAATTAGGTATTAATCAGGGTGCATAGCATTTTTAAAAAGTGCTTAAAGGTGATTATTTTCGTTTTTTAAAAGCCCTTAAAGATGCTTTTTTCCATGAATGTTTTTAAAAGTGCTTAATTTTCCCTTTTCCGAAATGTGATATTTTTCTTTATCATGTTGATTTTTGTCACAAATTATACAAAAAGACATTTTCCTATTCAACGTTTTCACAATTAATTCAACCCCAATCTATTTCGGCATACTGCCGGTCTGCAGTGTATGAAAGCACCATTTGTTTTACACGTTTGCTGAAATACTTGTGGGTCTGCACTTGCGTATACTGAACTGGATTCAGTGGTAAGGATTTTTGACTCTCATGTGAAACCCTGCTAAATTTTGCAAGAGATTCTCAATTTCAGACTTCATTTTCTGCCCTCTGTAATAGAATCGAAAAATCTCTAAAAATTTTGCTGATTACGGGGACCAACTTAACATTGTCAATATTTATTCTCTATTAGTGATAGAAAGTGCAGGGTGCGTAGCATTTTTAAAAAGTGCTTAATGGTACTTTTTACGAATTTCGTTTTTTAAAAGCCCTTAAAGGTACTTTTTTCATTTGGTGCTTTTAAAGAGCGCTTAATTTTTCCTCTTCCAAAATGAGATATTTTTCTTTTCCATGTTGATTATCGCCACGAACTAAGGAATAGAATAGAGTAAGGAATTGAATTAATTGCAATTTGACACATTTTTATTTATAATTATTTAAAATTTTCTACAACAAAATTTGGGTTTTTAACAGTAATTTTCAAAATAAAAAGAGTTTAATGTTAAAATAATTCAAGAACATAATTGGTGGAACATTTGTAATTTTACATATATGTTAATTTAAAATTACTTCATATTTATAATAGCTAATAAATATTCTTAGGCCAAAATTTTGGGTTTTTGACAATTTTCAAAAACTGCGTTAGAAGGTTTTTCTTGACATGATGGTTAAAACCTTCCAAGTGTCAAAAATTTGCCAACCCTGCCTAATTATGATATTTTTTTAAAGTGCTTAAAGGGTACTTATTTTTGTTGAAAAATTTGGCTACGCATCTTGTCTTGTTAATTTCATCGTTTGTGACGCGCTATCGTCTTCGTCACTGTAAATAAAAACATCAATTGTCAAAAACTTACCAACCCTGTCTAATTATGATATTTTTTGAAGAGCTTAAAAATATTTTTTGAGTGCGTGAAAAGTGCTTAAAAGGTGCTTATTTTTTGTTGAAAAATTTGGCTACTTACCCTGTTAATGAATTAATTATAAAATTAAGTTTTATACATTTTAGTGTTATAACATTGAGAAAAATTTTTTTTATTTCCTATTTATAAATTTATTACATTTACTTTTCTCACTAATTTTTGCTCTTTAATTTTCACTCATTTCAAAAATATGTATTAAATAGCTTGGAAATTGACACTATTATTTTATACTATAATGCAATTATAAACTGCTTAAAAATTTTAATATTTGATACTTCTTTTTTAAAAAGAGTTCCATTCATTTTTTTCATTTGAGTTGGAAGAAACGTATTTCTTCTGCAGTTTTATCCACTAATAAAAAACTGTTCCTACTCTGCCTCTCTTACCATCGCTCTTTGTGTCTTTCTCTGGTTCTTGAATTTATTTGTATCTAATTAAAAATAAATGTGAGTGCAGAATTACAAGAAATAAAAGCTATGAACCTAATCAGTTTTTTCCACAATTGTGGATAAAGAGTTCGTAAGTTTCACTCAGGCTAACTTGTAACCACACTGCCTGAAAACTTTTTGCCCCAGTCATACATCAAATCTAGAAACTGTTTGCAAAGAGGAGTCACACTTTTCTATAACTTCAGAAGAAAATAAATCTAAAATCAAATTTTTGATTTCATGTTTGTTTTTCACTGCTCAAAGTAATCAGTAAAAATTAGAATTTTGTCTTCAAGTTAAGGTATCTCAAAATCTGCTATTGAATGCCCTTTTGAATATGATAGTGATGAATAATGAAATTAAGATAAAAAATAATATAGAAAAAAGCCAACGAGTATCAAAATTGAAGATACTTACAAAACCAATTCAGAGTTCAGTCAAGAAGAAAAAAGATTAACTTTATCAATTCCTTTGGCTTTGATAAAGTTCATCTTGCTTCCTTGGCTGAACTTTGACTCGGTTTTATATATGTCTTCTATTTCCATATTCACTTGCTTTTCTTATTATTTTAATTTGAATATTCATTTACCTTTCTGAAGTGTGAAATTGCCCTAAGTTGTGGAACAACTTGTGTAGATATTTCCTTTTCTTCAAAGTTGATAGAAGTCAAATTTGTGAATGACAGGTTTTAGCCACATAAAATCAAATTTAGATGGAGAGTGTAGATCAGATGAAAGTGTATATGTTTTGTATCTTATGAATTTTAAAAATCCATTAAAATTTGCTATCTAAAATGTCATATATATTGTAAAATTATTAGCATAAAATTTGTGGCATGAATCTACTAGTTCTTTTCCTTTTTTATTGTTGTAGCTATGTGAAGAAATTATGATCTCTAAAAATTTAAAGTTTCTCCATGCATTTACTTATTAAAAACAGAGGTTTGAATCTAGATCGGAAACTGACCTATAATTTATGGAAAAATTGAAGTGACGTGAAATTTTAAGCAGCATATTTTTTATGCATATAAAAAAAAGTTACTGAGTTTTTATGAATATGGTATTGGCAAGTTTTGAGGGGTTTATTGCTCCCCATAGTCATATTCACTTATCCTATTGTTTGGCATAGCATGTCCTCATTTGGACCTTGTGTCACTAAACCCCTTCATTCAATCCTGATCATATTCATATTATCTTTCATAAACAACACAAGTCCTTGTGATTACTTGTTTTGTTCTCTCCTTGTTAATGGGTATACTGATATAACATTTCTCATAGTTTTTTTCAGTGCTATTCTTTGTGTAAAAATTATACAGAATAACTTATAGTCAAAGAAAAAAAATCTAACTTTTTGTACTATAGATGGAAAAATGTAATTTTCTATTAGTAAAAGCAACATTAAAACATAAAAACAATGTTTTTCCCTTACTGGTTTATATTTATATGTTTATGAATATACTAATTTATTTTTCTTTAGGGTGGAGATTTATTTGATGCTATTGCTTCTGCAACAAAATATACTGAAAAGGATGCAAGTTCAATGGTTCATGATTTAAGTAGTGCTTTATATTATTTACATTCCTTAAATATAGTTCATCGAGATATAAAACCAGAAAATTTGTTGGTAAGATTAGTTTTACTACTTTCTAAATATTGAATATTATTTTTTCAAATTATATTGTAGTTGAAAGAATGTTTTTTTTTAAATACATGTACTTTCAAATTTTATTTTTATGTTGTTTATACCTCAAACTTGTAAACAAGAATAAAAATGTACCAGTAATTGGCACTTTTTATTAGTTGTGAATTAAATTGTTACAGATGATCTTCAGACCAAAGGGGGTCATAATCTATGGCTCTGTTTTGATACAACCATAAAATAATATTTAAAAAAAAAGGGAAAACTATCAACTAAGTTGCATTACCTTAATTAGAAGACATAACAGCAATTAGAGAGTGTACTCTTGTTAATCCTATTGGAAAAATTAGGCAATTAAAAAACTACTATAAAATAAATTGTATGACATTCATTATCAAAAAAATGCAACCACAATTTTGATTTTATTAATAATAATGATTGTTGACTTTCATTGGTGAAAGTCGACATTTTAGTCATTCACAGTAACATATATATATAGCAGAAAATCATGCTACTTTCCAGTCCACATTGTTTAAGCTGTGTGGAACCAAAAAAGAAAAAAAAATCAAACATTAGAGTGTAAAAAGACATGTTTGAAGGGAGAAAAAAAATTTGTCACTGTGTATGCATTACTAAAAGAAGTTTGCTATACCAGTGGTTGTTCTGCATTATTATAGAGTTGAGTCTCATGGTGAAATTAATGAATAATTACAGTGGAAAGTCGCGTATCCGGAATCAGTGGGACTTCTGAAAGTCTAGATATTAGATTTTTCCATACAATAGATCCCCAGGGTAAACAAAGCTTAATACGGTCTGACTCTAAGAAGCAAAAAATAAATAAGCATTATTTTTCGGGCAATAATGTTTTAGTATTAGAATGATATCTAATCAATTAAAACAAAATATTAGAAAAAAATAATTATTGCTTAAAATATAGAAAACGAAAGAAATTTTGACAGTCATGAAAATATTAATTGCTCTCTTTGCCATTTTAAACTAGAATGATTCAAGCAGGAAGGGGAAATTCCCTTCATTCATTAAGGTGGGTAGATGAAGGAGAAAAATTCAATTCCTCCTTATTTGTCATTCAAGTTGAGGACTGGGAAGTGATCAATTCTTATTTTCTCTTCCAACATTAGCTATCAATCAATCAAACATAAAGGCGTGACATACTGATTGGTTCTCTTTATTTTTTCTTGCTTGACTGAAAGTGACCCTCCAGGTAAATGTTTGCTGTGAAAAAGGGTAACTTTTTCACAGTATTTCTTCTTTCCCTAACACTCTAATAAAAAGGTTCTAGGAAATGCCTCTTTTACTAGCCAGCTGCATAGGAAAGAAGGGGGGAGGGAACTCAGTTGTGCTCTTTTGAAAAAAACTTTTTCCTGCATTCCAGGTCTTGATAGATCTTTTCTCCCCTTTCTGTTCATTTATGGGTTCAATGCATAAATCACTAGAAGCTAGAAAAGGAAAAACTGTGTCAAAAGATTTCTTTCTTTATTAATTTTTTTTTAAGAGAGGGGAAGATGAAGAGATGTTTATTTTGATTGTTAAAAAGTGTCCGGGAAATACACCCTTCCGGAAAAGTGACATCCGGATATGGGACGCTACACTGTATTAAAGAAATTTTGCTAAATATTCGGATATATTAATTGCTTGTAAGTTCGTTCTTGAAATCCCATAAAATGAGTTGACATTTTTAAAAATAATTGAATTAATTTTCTATTTGTATTTTATTTACCATCTAAAAGAATTATCAATCTTTAGCATTAAATAAAAAATATTTTTTTACTCATCTAATCATTGTATATGTGGTTACATTGCAATTAGCTATATGTTGAATACAGTAAATATTTCGGGTGCAATTCTTCGTTTTAATCTATTACAAATATTTGAAAATAATTCTACAGTTCTTATTGTGTATTACTAAACTTTTAAAGTGAAACCTAAATGATTTTTGATCTGGTTCTGTAATAGGAAATATTTCACTCTTAAATTATTAATCTTCTGTGAATTTTCATGATTTAAGATTTTTTTACGTTGAAAAAATTGTCATAAAAAGGCAATATTGTGAATGGATAATAATTGCTATTCTTCAATGATCCTGAAAACTGGAAAAATCAGTTTTCTGGAATGAGATTAGTATCCTCGACTCCAGGTAATTAGTTTTCTACTTCACTTTTATGACTAGAATGAGATTTGGAAAAATTCAAAACTCAATTTTTTTGGAAAATCAATAAAAGCAGACTAAAAGACAAAATGGTCACTTGATATAATTTTACATACACTTGGAAGTTCCATATTTAGAATAATCAAGTTAGGAAAATAAATTTTTCTGATAATAGGTCTTTAAGAAAAACTTAAGGATCAAAATATACCTTATTGAATAAAAAAAAACTAATAATTGATATCAGTTTTTTTACTATAACAATTTATTACTAGTCAAATGTCATTTAATTAATTAAAAAATATTTAGTGTGATAAAATAAATGTCACTAATAAAATATTTAATAAGCTGAACTCTCTCTTGAATGAAGACACATTTTTTCCTTTTTTTCCCCCATTTAATGTGGCAAATTAGCAATGGAGTTATTTTGGTAAAAATAATATTCAAAAACAGGCTTCTTTTTGAAAACCAGAGCCTATACTATTTTATAAAAAAAAAAAAAATTTAAAAATCATTAAGCAGGAACTCGGGGGGAAAAGCAGCAAGGAACTGAATTGAGTAGATTTTTTTAAGGAAAACGTTCATAATTTAAATCAAAACAAAGACTCTGAGTAGGTGTTTCTTCACATTTATTATCAGATTCATTAATATTCATAGTTTATATCTCTCATCGAAGTTTATTTTAAGATTTTTAAGAACAGATTGCAACAACACAGATTACAAAACAGATAACAGATTTTTTCCCTCTTTGTTTTGATAAAAGAAATAAGATTTGCTTATTTTGATTGTTAAAAAGAGTCCTGAAAATTAACGTTTCCTGTTTGATATGGGACTTATTACTGTACTCATATTTATTTAATGTGTTAAAATTTTTTAGGTTGTAGAACGTGAAAATGGTTCTCGATCATTGAAGCTTGGTGACTTTGGCCTCGCTGTTGAAGTTAAAGAACCTCTATATATTGTATGTGGAACCCCTACTTATGTTGCTCCTGAAATCCTTGCTGAAAGTGGGTTAGTAAAAATTAAGAAGACAGCAAACTGTTTTGATTTAAAGAAATTTTAGCTTTAACGCCTTCAAATCTGGCATCCCGTTAATTTTCTATTGTATATCATACATTGAACTTATGTAATTTAATCTGGTGCTCCATGTTATCTTCTAAATAGTAACTTTGTAGTAATATGATTGAACCTTGCTGAATAATAATGTTTCTAAGATATGATAATGCCATGATTTATGATTGATAAAAGCATAAAATTAAGATATAAGTTTAACACATTTTTACAGTACTTATTTAAAATTTTCACCTGTGGTGTTGTTTGTTTTATTTTTTGTTTGGTTTTATGTAAAAATAAAATGCCTATACTCACACCGGATAAGTTGTAAAGTCGAACTCAATTAAAAATATTCCTAGATGTACTGGGTACTCGGCCTTCCCAGTCAAAATTTTATTTCTTGATAACTTCTGGCCTAAATCTTTTTTTGTACAATATGGGTTAAAGAGCCTAATAATATTGATGTTTAATGGGTTAAATTATTTTAGTTTTTATACATTTTTTTTTTAAATACAAAATTATCTGTAACCACTAACATTTCAGATACTCGTTCAGCTTCCTCTTAGATATCCTGTTTTCTATTTGATAGGTTATTTGGTAATCTCTGAACTGGTTGACTTGTATTGACTCTTAACCAGGGTTGGCAGGTTTTTGACATGTGACAGTTTTTGACAGTTTAAACCATGGTTTAAACTGTCACGTCAAAAACCTCACTGTCAAAAATGTCGAAAATGTCAAAAACCTATATTTATATGTGAAATTTTATTAATACATAAAATTTATATATTTTTTATAAAGGATAGTGTTTCTAAATATGTTCTAGAAAAAATAAATTTAAAATTTTGAAGAAACACTTATATTTTGAATAGTAACCAAAATCTTGTACTTTTGAAAGCTCACATCTTTTGTAATATTATGTATTCATTTTCATGTGTTATTGAAAATCTGCAGTGATATTATTAAGAAATTTATTTATAACCAAATTTAGTGTATAGTATAGATTATACTAAAAATTAGACATTTTTAAAGATAAACATTAGCAGTTTTGTACATTAGACATCTTTTAAAGAAAAATCTTTTTAATATTCTTTTAAATCTTCTTAATAATCTTTTTAACATAAGACAATACAAATTTAAGTGCTTTCTGTTAAATACACAGAGTAGTTAGTGTCGATTTACAGTATATTCAGCCTATTCATTTACTATGCTGAAAATTTAGTTTATCCAAATACTTGTGAATTTCATTTTGCTGAATACTATATAGTTTTGTTGAATATCTAAATATTCAGCTGTTGAATAATTACTTCTTGCTTTCAAGATATGCATTATTTGTATTCTTAATACAAGTGGAGAAAAAAAAATTAAGAGATAAAAATTGTTTTAAAATGATAAGTGTAATAATTATAAATAAATATAATAAACAATATGAATTATATTTATCATTATTCATAAATATAACTACTTTTAAATTCAAATTAACATACTGGATAATAAAGATATTCGGTATAACATTAAAAAAAATTTTTTATACACTTGTATCTTGTATCAAGTTTGTATTTATACAACATAACTTGTAAGTTCCTTATAAATATTAGTTATATGTTCCTTATATGTCAAAAATGCATAGTAATAAACTTTTAATTTTCTTAAGTATCAAAAAAAAAAAAAAAATTTTTTTTAAGTATAAATATTTAAACAATTTTTGTGCAAAATTTTTCTGCACATGCATTTGAATATAAATTTCTGAGATTTTAAATCTGTTATTTTACCTTAATTTTAATTAAAAAATATTTTAAAACCTGCTGATTACCTATAGTATAATTAAATTTCAATATAATGCATGGCAACTGTTGGTAGTTTTGAAGTTTATATATTTTCTTGGCAAACTTCAGTTTTTGACATTTTTGACGGGTTTTTGACGGTTTAAACCAGTATTATACCCTTGTCATGTCAAAAACCACTTTTTGACGTCAAAAACCCAACCCTGCTCTTAACATGTTTTTATTTTTGCATTTTGATCTTTCGTGATGTTTTGCTTAACTTCATGGGTTTCTGTTGTTTGTTCACCACACATTAGTCAATGAATGTGTGTTTAAGTGCTATTGCTGTAAGTAAAATGTATATCCCATTGATGCCTGATTTAGATATGAAAGATAGTACAATAGTATATGTGTCTGCGTTGTGGACACTTCAGTCCTACATAGTTGTTTGTGCCCTTTGACAGCCAGATTTTTCATGTTATTTGTTAACCTCTTCAGGATGAGGGAGTCATATATGCATTCTTGCAGAATCAGAATTTGGATGGAAAAAAATAATAATCTGTTGCCTAAATACGGTAATGGCTAATTTGACAGACATATTTTGCTTCCACTTTAATCAATGCTAGCTTAAGCACATATCTATTTGATGTTAGTTCAAAGTGCAACTATATAATTTTTAATTTGAAGTAAGTAGTGATCAATTAAAAAAAAATTGGCTACCTGTTTTATCTTTTTACCCTGATTGAGAATGTTTCATGCTGGCATGTATACATGACAGTCTGCGTGAAAGGATTAAATTATTAAGGAGTAATGCCCAAAGCAAATTCTATACATCTTATAAAGCATTCTGATGTTTAGAACTATAACTTTAACTTTTTTTTTAAATTGAAAACCTTTTTTTTAAAAAATATTATTTAAAAAAAACATGACTCAAATGTGTTAGGCAAAATTAAGTACTTCTTTTGAGTAGTATAAGAATGAATTGAAACATTTTAATGATTGCATATATTGTGACTTAAATTTATGCTTAGTGAGGCAGAACTATTTTTTTTCACAAATTTTTTCTAATTTTTTTTCACAAATTATCAAAATCAAAGGATGATTTGTTAAACATAACCTACTAGTAGTGGGTATAGTTGTTATATAAAGTAAAGTAGAATATAACGAAAAATTGACAAATTTCCTATTGTGATTAAATATTTTTATTGAAAATAATCTTGAAATTGAAATAAATATTTTTCAAATTAAATACAAATCATATGGATTGGAATTAAAATTATAGACTTTGCTTTAATAGCTGTGACAAATGAAATGTCGCTGCAGTGAAATAAGGAAAAACTTGCAAAATGTTTGAACCTTTGAATTTGTGTTACTTTTGCCAGGGTTTATTATCTACATAAAAGTGTAGGTATCGTAGTGCACGATAAATTGCATCGAATTGATTCAAAGCTTTATATTCTGTGTTAATCTTTTGAAACTGCTTTCTCCTCGCCTTAGTATAACATTTTATTACCTGCCAACACGTTTTTCTGCTACTGATGCCCTTTTTGTGTGCTAGACTATTTCTTTCGGTAAAATTTGTTTGCCTGGCTTTAGTGTCACACTTGTAAAACACATCTTTTTTTTAAAGAAAGAAAGCCCAAATGTTTTATTATAGCGTAACTGCTATCATCGTATATTTTGTTTTGTCAGGAATATTTTTCCTGGTGCTATAACCTACGAGATATGAAATTTACTAAAATTTTTTTAATTTATTAAATATCACTTAAAAGCATTTTGAAAATCACAACACATCAATAATTCATTAACAATAAGAAGACGGAAGTTCATACTCAAGGATGCCACACGTACCTAAAAATACAAAAATTGGTAGAAACTTAATTCATTTTTAATTATTTAATAGATTTAATTATTTAATCATAACTACCACCATGACTTACGTTACAAATTATATATATTTAAAGGGAAAATGTTTCTTGCATTCACTTTCAATAGTTAACTGAAAGACGTATGCTATAAAAAGTTGCGAATTCGAATCTCATTTAATAGATTTGTGCTTTTTATTAGTCACCATTTTATAGAGTTTTAGGTGCAAATAGATCCCCTGAATACTATGAAGTAGCTATAAAAACGTAAAAAATGTTAACAATTATTGTTCAGTCAACATCAATTTAAATATTACAGAAAAATGTTTAAATAAAATTATTAAATTTTTCTATTCTATGAAAAGTATCTTAAATAAGCTTGATTCTTAAAACATAAGTATTGTAAAAATTCTTATTTGGAGCTGAAATTTAGAAGTTGACAACTAGTGTTTGCTTGATCCTACACACTCTAGGCTCTTTAAATGGTTAAATAACATGAATCCACCCACAAGAAGTTTACAAGACGGAAACTCATTCTTTGCATTCATACCATATAATACCTGATGATGACTAAATAAAATGATCACTAAACATTAAAATCGAAAAAGCTTCTCATTTGAAATGTTGAATGAATGAATTTGAAATTATGTAGTAATCCATGGCAAAAAAAAGTTCATCTTTTTTTAATTTCTATGTGTGAAACTTGATATTTGGAAAAAGTCTTATGTTTTTCTGTGTTCTATCAGTTCTTAAGTTACCCTATAATTGATAAATAAGAAAGTTACATTTTGAAAGTGAAGCATTTTTTTATTTTAAAATATTTAAAAAAAAAAATTTCCTCAAAATTTCTATTCAATTTAGAAAAATGTTGCATTGAAGGAATAAAACAATTGTCTCTTCCCTATATAATAAAAATAGTTTTTTTGCCTACCTAAGGTAAATCTAATACAAATCAATTAGGGATACATAAAATGTTACATTGAGCTTAGGAAACAGAAATTATATGCAATGAATTGTATTGGATTTTGTTTTCAAAGCAAACTAATATTGTGAAACAAAAATTTAGGTGTTGGCTAGCAACAATCCCTTAGTAATAAAGAAATTTCGATTCTCTTTTTTGTTTATTGTTACTGTATTTCTGAATTATTTTACTTACTTCTTTTAATTTATTTTATTCCAGCTATGGTTTAAAAGTTGATATTTGGGCTGCTGGTGTCATTACTTACATCCTTTTGTGTGGATTCCCTCCTTTTGTCAGGTAGTATATTTTATTATATAAACATTTTTTTCAAGTTTCTTTGTGTAAACAATTTTTTTTAATTCTTGTTGCTGAAAACTAATGTGGTGTGTACAGTGTATTCTGCAATGATTCTCTTAATTATATATTTTTAGAATCCTTGATAATTTTTCTCCTTTTTGACCTCATTGTAGTCCATGGGCCGAAGTCTCAAAAGCAGTTCTAAACTAATTTTCGTTCCGACACCCGAGGGGCAATTTTATTCCACCAAAATGGAAGACAATCTTGGCTGAGAAACATAAATTCAGGAAGTTCTCCAAAGTCTGGTTGTCCATTTATTGATAGTTATAAAAATAATGAGGAACTGTTTTGTTTGAACGAATTCCGTATTTAGCCCAAGAATATCTGTTGAGAAGCTCACTTTGACGTCACCTGGAAATGGTGAGCTATCAGAACAGAAACAGCTGTGCGTTAACTACATTAGTGTTCCCATTCGTTCTCGTTTCTTTTGCGTTAAACCGCTTTAGAAGTTTTAATATGGGGGCACAAGATACTTCATCTACAAAATTTTTTTTAGTATTTTTTGTAAAATTACTTGAAATTTGAATTATGTAAAAATTTATATCTTTCCTTCACTCTGTGAACATTTTAAATTTGCATCAACTTTCTAAGAATTGCTACCCTACTGAAAACAATCTGATTTTCTTTAAAAATCTGAAGATATTTCCCCCTTTTTTTAAAAAATGATTCTTGTTTTCTTTTTATTACAGATATTCCTTTAATATTTGTTAGTAAGCAAAATATCCATTTGGCATACAAATGAATATTTTGAGATTTTGTTTGACAGGAAAAATAAAATTTACACTTGTATAAGATTTGTTATAAATTTGATTTGATTTTTTTAATTTGTTGTTTGGTACACTTTGTCTTAAATCTTCTACTAAAACTTTAAAACGTTCTTTACTAAATGAAAACATTGCATTATACATATACTGAACAAAATATTTTGTTTCCTAATTTATTTAAACAATTTATAAAAATTTATTTTTCATTTTTTAATGTTTTGGTACAACATTAATTTTTAACAAAATTAAGATGGATTTTCTGAGAAATTATTAGAATTTAGCCTGTTGTCTTTATGGAAAAAAATGTTTTCATGTATTATTTCAAGTTGTTTTTGCACAGAGTGCAGCAAAAGGCAAATGCAGAGTGACTCAAAACCCCTTGGAGAAGTATAGTTAAATATATTTTTTACAAGGCAAGAGAAAATAAATCCAGACAATTATAGATCAATATATTTTAAAATTTAATTATGCTTTAAAGTGTAATAATTTATTTACATTTATATGTAGAGAAATTTCTGAGTTATTTGTACAAACAGTGCCAGTTACAAATTCATGGACCATATTTTTTAAACCAATATCTTAAGTCAAATATTTAAATTTGCTCTATATTATACAGAGATATTCAATATTGATTTTAAAATTGTTGAAGCCCTGTTTGCAGACTCTTAAATGCAAAACTATACAGAATAAATATAGTTTTTTTTTTTTTAACTCAAAGTACTATGTTCCTGTAGATTCAAAAACAAAAAATATTATTTTCTGAGTTAATACACCATTTAATGTGTAAAAAAAAAGAGGGGATATTGAATAAAATTAAAATGCCAGCAATATATAATGTGTGCTGGAATATACAAAAATGTTCTGAGCTCAACACTTTATTTTACTTATGCTGATTTGTAATAAGTATTCTTCTTTTAGAATGACTATAAGCAATTTCTTTTTTATTCGTCAAGTACAAATTTAGAATATTTGAAGATTTTTGAATCGCTAAATTTGTCCTTTTCAAATTTTACTCCAAAAGGATAAATTTAAAGTGCTTTTAGCATTTTTTAATATTTTTTTCTATTTCATTTTATCTAATTTCATTGTTATTAGATAGAATGGATTAGAATGTCAAAGCATCGAATGAATTTGAACGATAAATGAGTTGGACACATAGGCTAGTGATTAATCAGCCAAAAAAAATTTTTTTTCTCTCTTAGATAAATATATGTAGCACAATTTTTAATTTTAAATTTACACCAGTTTTTATTTTTCAGTACTTTGATTACAGGAAAACTCTTAATTTCAAATATTTTTCTTGTTCCTAGAGATTCAAGATGACTAGGTTGTACTGTATACATAGCTGCCTAGTGTTCTGATTAAATTATTACTGTTCCAATTTTTTTAATCCTTATTTCAGAAATACACGATTTCCAGAATTTTATGATTTCTCTACATTTTAAATCTTTTTTTTTTTTTTGAAGAAGAAGAAAAAAAAATTGAAAATGTAAAAACGTCTTTGCTTTCCCTTCCTGTATTATCAGATCACAGTGCTGGGGAAATTACATTGAATTTGATAATATCTAAAGTCGTCACTTATGGTATTCCATCAGAGACTATTTTTCTCTTGAGATACTCCAAAAGTCATGATGAGTAAAAACAAAAGGGCTGTTGCATTCTTTAAGAAATGAAATCCAAATATATTTGTTTTTGACTGCTTATGCCATCTAATCAACTTCAGAAAAGGCTGTCATAATTATACCTGTATTATTTGATATGTTAATTATTGTTATTATTTAATGTATGAATGGATATTTATTATTATTTCCACCAAAGTTTAAAGCAGCAACTGGAATTTCAGAAATTTCAAGTTATGTTTCACCTAATAAGTTATACTGAACTACTGAAAAAAAAAGGAAATCTGAAGGTGTACAGATTGTAAAAAAAATTTGGTGTTTCATTCAAGTAGGGAACTTTTTGTAAAACATGCAAATGTCACGTTAGAAAAATGTAATGTAATGTTTGAATGTGAACAACCAATGACATACAGATTAAAGGGGAGTTTGTGAATATCTTTAAGGAACTAGGTAGATTGGCGAATGTTATTGTTGTCAACATCTCTATTTGATGTAAAAATTGATGTTACTGAAAATTTAAGAAAAAAATGTTGAAAATTTAATTATTGGATCTGGGACTGTAGAATTTAATGCCTTGTCAATAGCTCAGCATACAAAATTTTATGATTATATTAGGAGATATGTGACAGCTTATAATTACATTTTATTTAATTTCCCTTTTAATGTGGAACTTTTTGAATATACAAAAGTAATAGATTTAGTTGGTAGAAAAAATAGAAAATGTTCCAGCTTGAAGTATTTTGTTGATAGATACCCAGTGTTGTTGTTAAAAAAAGGGTGAATGAAAGCAATCATTCTGCTATTGATGCTCTAGAGGCAGAATTTTTAAGCAATTAATTAGATGATATTCATTTATCGGAAAAGAGAGCAGATAAACAGTGGGTACTGCTGTAAAAACTACACAAAAAATTAATTGCAACACATCCCTGGGATGAGTAATTCTACATTGACAAAAATAGAAAAAAATAGTGTGCCTGCTGATTTATGAAACAAATTTGTCTATATTAATATCAGAATAAAATTAAAAAATTTTTAGTTGAATTTTTATTTTAATTATTATTGAATTATTAATCGCACTTTTTTCCTAACCATAAAATATTTTTTAATAAAAAAGAACCCAGAAGTTTGAAAGTCTTGAGTCGTAAAGGCCTATAGTAATCACTGTTGTTGAATCACTGACGTCATATCATTTAAGTAGCAAAACTATTAGGATACAGTTTCACGTCTAATGCAACATAAGCTTCTTTAATTCATGTTTAAGATTGCTAAGCACTTCTGCATTACACATAATTTATTTGTTCTGAAAAATAGATTTATAAAAATCAAATTATTATTCTATATTTTATTTTTAACTGTAGTTTAAAACTTAGTTAGCTTTATTTTCTATCTGTTCTTTTAGTCGAAATAATGATCAAGTAGAATTGTTTGATCAAATACTTGCTGGAAAATTTGAATTCACTAAACCATACTGGGATGAAATATCTGATTCTGCAAAAGTAAGTGCCATTTAAAAATTGATATATTGTTCCATTTTGTTATTATCACTTATGTTTCATTGAATAAGTAAGCTATCTCTAAAGTAAAATGAATTGTCATGCCATTCTTCTAGTTGAAAAGTTTTCATAAAAATTCATAGGGGTGTTTCTAGAATGACGTCATATCATTTAGTGTTTCTAGGGTGACATTTTGTATCCCTGTTTTGTCTCACTTACTATGAGAAATTTAAAAAAAAATTGTTCATTTTTTCAGAATGTATTTTTTTTATTCGTTCAAAAAACATATTAAAATTCAGGCATGGAAATCAAAATTATTGTGTGTGCAAGCATTGAAACAAAATAATTTGTTTACATATTTTCAATATTAAGTAAATTAAATGGAAGTATAAAAATTTCGCCTTACATAACTGTTTGATTTCCTAAATGCAGGGATTTATTATCTGTTTCTATAATCATTGCATGTAGAAAGTGATAAAGTCTGTGTATCAGCTAAGGGGTATTTCCTGGAAATGCAAATAATCATTAATTACTTGTATTTACATTAAATAGCAATTACTGGTAAATATAAACAATATTCAAAATCGGCTATTTAAAGTAGTCATGGTTACTGTTAGTCATGATTACTAGTAATTATATTCTAGTCATCGTATTCTGTAATGTGAGCTTGCACTGATCAGCATGCCAGCTTTAAGGATGAATAAAAAACGGTACTTACTAGCCCCAAATCAGAAGCTGGCCTCAGAATTCAATGTCAAATCCAGCTCGCTGTTATTGGCGGTCAGCTCCAGTTGTCATCTTTGGTTTTGATTTATAATAAACGAAACATGTATGATTATGATGCAGCAGATTAGGTCAAATTGTGTGGTTGTTTATATTAATCAGGCTCAAAACTTTTTGTTTCTATTCAAAATTTATCAAATAGGCGTAATTTATTATATTTTCTTATCGAGTGTTTCTTTCTGGATTCATCTTTTAATAGAAGAAAGAAGTATTAATGAAAAAAGAAAAACATTTTTCATTTCATCAAATAAGTGGAGATATTCTTCTCTCTTTATCTCTCTCTCTCTTTTTGAAATGAGAAAAAAATTCTCTTTACATGACATGAAATTTTTTATTTCTGTATTTTCTGGTGAAAGCGCCGCACATCAATAAAAATGCAAATTTTTTTTAAAAAGTTATCATAATCAGTTGACCGCGCATATCAACATCCTTATAGAAGAGACTTTTAAATTACCATTTAGAATATCTGTATAATAAAAATTTTTTTATACATTTCATAAAGTAAGTTTCAATTTTTGAATTATAAAGAGAAAAACGCTAACGGGACCGCTCACTTACTGTTTAGGCAAGGCTGAACTGTATCATCGTTGATGTGGATTAATTTGGAATAAGCGTGCTTAATAAATAATCCCTATAAATGGTCTGAAAATAATGTTAAGTACGGCAAAATATTTTTAAGTACAGCAAATACCGTATTTTCTAACTTATTTGGGGGAAGAGAATGGCCTAAAATGCGTTAACAAAGAGTTCACGTGAAAAAAGTTTTCTTTTTCAGCAAAAGAAAAAAAAGCAACAAAACGATATTAAATAAGGTTGTAATTACCAGTTGGCACTGCACCAAAAATAAAGTTAAGTACAACAAATAATTTTGAAAATAGTGTTAAGTGCAACAAAATATTTTTAAATGCATCAAATAACTTAATTTCCAAATTACTTGGGGGGGGGGGGGGAGAATAGCCTAAAATGTGTTAACAAAGAGTTCACATGAAAAAAAGTTTTCTTTTTCAGCAAAAAAAAGCAACAAACCAAATAAAATAATTTTGTTTTTACCAGTTGGTACCATGCCAAAAACAGAAGAGCAAATAATTAACAGCAAAATAATATTTACATGCTTAGCAGTGCTGATAAAAATCTTATGTTGGGAAGGTCAGAGTTTGAGAGAAAAAGGTTAGAGAATCTCAAATTTTAGGAAAGTAAATTATTCTTCAATTATAAGAAAATAATTCAACCATATTTAGCGGAAGAATTAACACTGCGACTGATTGCAGAAATCTGTAAAACAATGTAATAAGAAAAATAAAAAGATTTACAAATTTATTACAGTTAACAATTTGGGGAAAAACTAATAATAACGAAACAACTAATAATTACAAAAAAACTAATAATAATACGAATAAGAAATAATTGCTCACGCACCAAAAAATTCTGAAGAAAGAATGAGCGAAGCGGAAACGAGTTTCACTTTCACAGTCTTTGGGGGTGGAATTTTAGTGGGTAGAATGCCCTCTTCTTCAATGGAAATAACGCAATAAGACTCAGCTGAGAAAGAGATAAGAAAATGTTTAAAAGAGGGGTGTACTCCACCTCCTCCGCTTGTCATTTGTACTGGAACTGTTTAGGAGGAATCAATCAGTTATTTTTTAAGGGATTGGGGAAAAGAAAAGGGGATACAGTATAGGACCCCTAATCCAGCATCCCGAAATTCGGCACTTAGTCCAATCTAATTTTTTTTAAAAAAAATTTTATTGATAAGACAAAAAAGCAGTTATATTCTCTTTTTATTTGGATTTTATTCTGTTGAAGTAAGTAGCTTTATTTTATCTTTAAAAAAAAAAAAAAACGTGAAAAGAATAAGTCTGTGTCAAATAAAACATCTGTTCCTAAAGCAGTTTAAAAAACACCTGCGTTTCTAATGAACAAAATAAAGAAATACAAGTTGGAAGAAACCGATCAATCAATCTTGACAGCTGTGCTCTACTAATTTGCTGCCTCATTTCCCTCTCCTGTTAGACCATATATTGGCCGCATCCAGTTGACATTGAAACTACCACATGGGGTACAGAATGAATTCTATCCCTTTTGCGTTTTTTTTTTATTCGATTCATTTATTTTTTATTTTGCGGCTTTTTTTTATTAGTTACTAATTGTTCATTCGTTTTTTTCTTCTTGTTATTAGTTGTTTGCTTGTTTTTTTATTGTTATTAGTTGTTAGCTTGTTTTTTGTAGTTATTCATTGTTAGTTTCTTAGCATTAATTGTTAAGTTTTTTTTTGTAGTTCCTTGTTAGCTTTCCTTTTTTTTGTGAGGTGAGCGTCTTTTGTTAAAACAAAATGTTACCTAAAAGGAACAAAGAGAACTATGATCGCTCTCCGAAGAAGAAACGATTATTTCTTCTTCCGAGGATTTCGATTCTTTCTTCTTGAATTATTTCTCCTTCAGATTATTTCTTGATTATACAGTGTAACGTTCCATATCCGGACGTCCCTTTTCCGGAAGAGTCGATTTCCCGAACACTTTTTAACAATAAAAATAAACAAACATTTCTTCATCTTCCCCTCTCCTTTAAAAAAAAAAAAACGAAGTATTTTTGACAGGTTTTTCCCCTTCTCAGCTTCTAGAGATCTATGCATTGAATCCATAAATCAACAGAAAAGAGAACAGAAGATCTACTAAGACCATGATACTCCTCCTCTGGAATGCAGGAAAGGGGGGGGGAGATTTGTTTTCAAAAGAGCATAACTGATTCCCCTCCCTCCCCCTTCTTTCCTATGCAGCTAGCTAGTAAAAGAGGCATTTCCTGGTACATTTTTATTTGAGTGTCAGGTGAAGAAGAAATACTGTGAAAAAGGGTAAACACAGCAAATGTTAAATGGAGGGGGAATCCCCTTTAGTCACACAAGAAAAAATAAAGAGAACCCAATCAGCATGCCTTGCCTTTATGCTTGATTGATAGCCAATGATGGGAGAGAAAATAAGAATTTGTCACTACCCCGCCCTCAACTTGAATGACAAGTATGGAGGAAATGAATTTTTCTTCTCCACGTACCCACCTTAATGAATGACGGGAATTTCCCCTTCTTGCTTGAATCGTTCTAGTTCAAAATGGCGGAGAGAGCAATCAATATTTTCATAACTGTGAATTTTTTTTGTTTTTTATATTTATTTTTAAAATAGCAATAATTATTTTTTTTCTAATATTTTGTTTATGATTGATTAGATATCATTCTAATACTAAAACATTATTGCCTGAAAAAAATGTTTATTTATTTTCTGCTTCTTAGATTCAGATCATTTTGAGCTTTGTTTACCTTGGAGGTCAATTATACGGAAAAATCAAATATACGGACTTCGGGAAGTCCCGCCGATTCCGGATACGCGACTTTCCACTGTATTATATAGATTATTATTTTAATTAATAAAATTTCATAAGATGGGCCAGTTTTAAATTCACCACATCATAATATAGGATCGAAACTTAACTAAATTTATTGGTTTTTCTGAAATTAACAGTATAATTGAATTTTAGTATATATGGGTGCCATACAGGAATTTCTGAAAGAGATCCGAAATTCTGCAAATTCTGAAATACGGAATTTCGTCGGTCCTGTGAGTGGGGGTGGATACAAGGTGCATACCTTTTTAATTGGTCTCCTTATGCCATGCTTTTTAAAAATAAAGTTGTACTATTTGATTAAATACAAAATTTGTACAGGACTCTAATTTATGATGAAAGTTAAATATTTGATGTTTTTTGATTAACATAAGTTTTAAAAATATTTCCTTCTATGAAGAACATAAGTGACTTAAATGTAACTGTATTTATTTAAAGCAACCGAGAGTAGTTCATGTTATCTCAAATGTCGAGCAAAGATGCCCATTATCTAACAAGAACCGAAATTTTGTAATTTAATGTTTTTAAAAAACCAATAATGCAACTTTTTTTTGCAATTTAGCAAAATTTTTTCAATAAATTTTATTGAAATAAAAAAATGCAATTCCTAAAAACTGGCTTTCTGCAATATTTTAACAATTTTTAATTATAAAATTTTCCTAAGAAATTTTAGGAAGTAAAAAAGCTGTTCTGTAGAATAAATTTCTTTTCTTATTATTTATTGTAATATTTTGTTACTCCTTATCCTTAATAATTTTTTTATCTGTTCTCTTTTCTTAAAAAGAAACTCTTAAACCATCTTTATAGTTTTGTTTTAAAAATATGTGTAT